TTCAATAATTATTGGGGATTAAACTACTACTACTGAAAATTTTAAATTTAATTTATTGTATTTATTGTCAAGGTTTTTAAAATTTAATTAGACAATGAACTAGTTAGATGTTTGGTTCTCGGGTCAAACGGTCCGACCATTCAAACTGAACAAACGGCATGTTTTGACAAAAAAAAATAAAAAAAATAAAAAATGGCCAAAACCGCTAAATGGTTTGAATGGTTCGACAGCTCGGGTCAGCGGTTTGCTGACCAAATCAATGTATTGGGAAATTAATGATTTTGGAGTAAAATAGAACCGATCACCTTACCGGTTCCCAGTTTTTTCGGTTCGACCGTCCAGTCCAGTCCGATTTTGAAAACCATGTTTATTGTATTTTTGTTATAACTAATGGATTAATATTTATTAGAGATTAAACTATTATTTGAGATTATTCTATTTATTGACTAAGTTAATATATTTTTGTACTTATTGTATTTTTGTAATTATTGTATTTTTTCATTATCAATATATTTTCAATAATTGTATATTTTTGCTATAAATTTTCAATAATTATTGGAGATTAAACTACTGTTATTTATCGAAGATGAGACTATTATTTTAGTTGAAATTATGTGTTCATGAATTGGTTCGGTTTGGTCATAGGCTATTTGGCCAACCAAATGACTTGGTCAAGTTGGGGAGTTGGTCAGTTGAAATTGATTGTCCTTTTGTAAAAACGATCCACATAAGTTGTATCATTTTGGGTCAATTTTTTGGTTTGGTTAGTCGGTTCAAAAGATTTAAACTTAAAAATTAAATTTAATTTGAAAAATTACACTACAATTATTAAAAAATAAATTTAAAAATTAGATTTACGATATAAAACATTTTAGACTAAGAAATATGGAAAATTTCCCACTTTTCCATATTAAGAATTATATTTAAAATATACAATATTAATATATATCCATGGTTCGATTTTGGTCGGTTTACAAATGGCCAAAGTGAAATTGATGCAACTTGGTCCAATTGGGAAATTTTGAACCAAAGGCAACCTAAAATACTAGAAAACTGGCCAACTCGGTCGGGTTGGTCAATTTCATTAGTTTGATGAATAAAACTAACTAAAATTAATTGTTGTTATTTTTGTATTATAAAAAATTTATTAAAAGTAGTATAGAAAATATGAATAATTATTAATTATTTAAAAAGTTAAAAATATAGAACAATTGTATACTCTTATGTGTTTCTATTAGGGTCATTTACGAGAACACACCTTATAGTTTTACATATTTATTTAAACATACGTTATAGTTTTCTTTTTACTAAAACACATCCCATATGTTTTACAACTTATTTACTTAATCAACATTTCATTAAGGAGTGTTTGTTTTTCCATTAGGCACATGATTTTTTTTATTTCTAAAATACCCTTAACACTTTTTTGTACGGAAAACAAAATTGATCAAATATAGCCAATAGAGTAGTTGCTCATGTCTTATTAAGGGCAAAAATGGTATTTTTATTTTTATTTTTATTTTCTTTTGATTAAATTTATTTAAATGAGCATTAGGATCAACACTGTTGTAGGTACATAGTGCTCACTTAGTCTGTCTGAGCATAGAAAACACTAAATTAATACCATATGGACGTCTATGATTAGTTTATAACTCATCTTTCCCCTGCGATGAACTTATAGTACATCATAGGCTTGCGATAAATCCACGGCTCATCACACGATTGCGATGACCCTATGCTTAACGCAAGCCCAAAACAGACTTGAGTAGAACCTATAATGAGTTCTTATATGCATTTAGTCCCACGATGAACCCTGAGCACGTGCGGCCCTGCGATTAACCTCATACACATCTAGATCGACGATGAACTTCAGATAACCGCAGCCGTATGATAAACTCTGGACCGCTATGGAACCTCGATTTGTTAAGAGCCGGGCTTAAATATTCACTACATGTGTAATCCCGAGTGACGAGCGTGACAAGGTTCCACATAGGTTTAATAAGAGGCTGCCCACGAAGTAGTGACATCACTAGTGCCACGTCGGTTAAGTAAGGTGCAAAGGTGGTAGCACATGTGGGTTATGAGGATCTTCGGGTGAAAGTAAAGTCAATCCTCGAGAGATCCCATAAGAATATGTGGTGAAACCCCAACAATGCTCCTTAATGACCGACAACGAATCCAATATTCCCTTTCCTAGTATAAAACAAACACTTTTGGCTCCTTCCTTTCAGGATCTCAGGATCCTTCCCTATAAATAGGGATCCCTCTCACAACGAGATTCATTCATTCAACCACTAATTAACCCTATCACTGGAATTCTTGCTCAGCCGTCTCTTCGTCCCTTGCTTCCTCATCTTTCAGTTAGCTCCCTGACCCTGATCTTCCTTTGTCCTTCAAGGAGACCATCCCCCTATCCGAACCACTACCTTGTCTACAACTGTCATTTTCCATTGTCATCTAATGAAAGATTGATTAAATCCATTGCAAATTACAAGTTGTGTTTTAGTAAAATGCTAAATATAGGGTAGATTTTAGTAAATCTATGAAACTATAAGGGGTATTTTAGTAAATAATTCTTTCTATTATTTAGTTTTGCTTAATAAATCCCGTGCATCGCACAAGTCGTCACTAGTACACTCTTTAAAACCTTTGAACATAGCAACAAAATTGAGATCACCACAACAGATAGTTAATGGGATCTAACTTAATAGAAACCAAATGACTTACTGTAGATGGGAGATTCGGATTCACAATAGTGCTAGTTGACCGGGTTGTAGTGGGAAATGTGGAAGTCGAGCTTGACATGTTGAAGCCTGGCTCTGATACCATAAAACGAAAATTGAATTAATGTGAAAGAACTCACTATAGATTTTATTGACAATCGGTGAGTTGAGTGTATGTATATATAAAGCTTGTAGAAGTCCAGATTACAAAGTACAGAGAAAGTTGAACAACTGTACAATAGATGCATCATAGAGTGAAAAAAGAGAGGTAGTGGAGTGATAGCTAGGGCTGTTCGAGGGTTGGGTTGGGTCGGGTTACTGAGGTTTTTTCCAACTGACCCGACCTGGTCGGGTTACCTGAACTTGAAACCGAAACCGACCTAGTGTTAAGCAAAACCGACCTGGTCGGTTTGAATCGAGTTGGGTCAGTTTTGGCTCTAAGTTCAACCATGCTTGACAGAAACTCAACTGCAATAATGGGGGCGGACCAAGTTAGAAACTTAGAATAGAAGTTATCAAGAAAATAGAAAGTCAAACTGTATTAGAGAAARAAGACTGAAATTTGTATATTTCAAGAAACCTTCTAATCTAAGTAAAAAATGACACCTAATTCTAATTGTAAATGGTTGCCTATTTGGTGTAAAAGACCATAGAAAGTAGGATATTTTGATTCTTTTCTTTAAACTTTTCCAAAAAAATTCCTTGTCTAGTTGTCTTACAATACTTGCCATTAATGTTAATCCTAACTAGAAGACTAGAAATTAAGTTAGGTTGTAATTAGGATAGAGACAACTTAGTTAAGTAGGAACTAAGTAGGTTGTAACTAATAACTAGGAAGTAGGAACTAACTACTAACTACTAAGTTAGTTCAGTTCGGGTCAGTTTCAGTTTTCTTGTGTGAAAACCGAAACTGACCCGAACCATCAGTTTATGATGTTTTACAACCTGAAACTGACCGATGCTGAAGATAACCCGGCCGACTCGGGTTGGGTCAGTCCGGGTTGGTCAATTTGGTCGGGTTGGGCCTTCTTATGAACAGCCCTAGTGATAGCTTTAGGAGATCAGTTAAAACTGGTTATCTATTCAACTGTGATTTATTTGGTTGACTTGTAATTGGACTCTTCCTGTCCTTGTCATTGTCACTGCAGAAATTATTAATGTGAAAAATTTTAAAATAAAAAGAAGTTATTAATAAGATGAATTAGAAGAGACCTGTGATACATTATACATGAGCTGGTTCTAAAAGGTGCCCTAAAAAGGGAAACTGAATTGGTTGTGGGTGATTTTAAAGAGCTCATGTTTTTCTTTTATTTTTTAAATTCAAAATTCACAAAATTCTGAGGGAATTGGGGGTTGGGAAGCAATGTGAGGAAATTTTGGCTAACCATTAAAAAATGATTTTAGCATGACACGTCTCTCTCTCTCTCCACTGTTCTTCATTTAACCCCTGCAGTCTGCTAAAAGAGTTTAGGTTAAAACTTAAACCAGGTTAATTAGGGTCGAGGAAACATGAATCTGATTCAACTTAAAGGTCAAGGGTAATGGGATTTATTTTTTCTCCTTCCGTGAATTCATGCAAGGGATTTATTCATTCTTTCAGTTTGTTTCTTCCTTTTTGGTTCATGGGGGCTACACAACAGGGTAGCCCTTCTTTTAGCTAGGTTGATATTCAACCTGATTACATGTTCACCAGTGGAGTGCTTGGAACATGGAATGAGCGAAATTGAGCTCAGGCCAAGTCCAGTGGCAAGCTAGAGAGATTGAATTGAAGGTTAGGGACTTAAAAGGTATTGGGGTTCATTTTTCTTCTTCCATGCATGAATAACATAGGCAACACATAATTAGCATTGTATTAAGGCTTTAATTTCTTTTTTCTTTTAGGTTGATGTTCAAACTTCAACCCTACTGAAATTGAAGGTTGAGGCCTCCAACAACCCAATTAATCCAATTCAATCCCATCCCAAGGCACTATAACGGCACACATTGGGGACATCTCTCCTACAGTAAGCACATGGAACAAATTGCAGTCGACGGAGAAAGTTGGTTGGTTCTTAACTGCTTAGGAAACAGGAGAGGCAAGAGTGAATAATGGATATCTTCATTTTCTTCATTCTTCTTCTTTTTGATACAGACGAAGAAATATATATTTATATATAGTCAAGCTTCCAACAATATGAAACAGATAAAAATCATCCCTGAGTAGTCTTCAATTTGATCCAACATGAAAGCCCCCCCAAGAACAAAAGAATATGAAGCCTCAATTCCACCACGATTAATTCATTGCTTGATCAGAGTTCGTAGCTTCTCTATAAAACCATCAATGTAAGAAGAGTCAAAGCCTTGTTTTAAAAATACATCTCTCAACCTCAGTCTGTTTGCTCGGACCTCTCTCCCTACCTCGTTGTCTTCGTCCATTACCATCTTCACCGCCTTGCACACGTTCTCCCTTGTGAACCACCCATCCTCCTCCCTCCTCTCCACTTCCACCCCAACCTTCAAGTCTCCACTCATCAGCCTCGCGTGGACAAACTGGTCGCCCGAGTATGGCAACAACACCAGTTGAGGCTGGTTTACTAGCGACTCGATCAGAGATGCCCATCCAGAGTGGCTCACAAAGCACCCAATAGAAGGGTGACCCAATATCAGTTGCTGTTGAACCCAGCCACCCTCAACCACGCCTCTTCCTCGAACCCTTTCGGTGAACCCCTCCGGCAATGCCTCTTCCATTGTCTCCGTCCCTATGGGCGGCTTTAGTGCCACAAAGAATGGCAATCCGGTGAGCTCAAAACCCAACACTAGTTCTTGAAACTGATCCTTCTCCAAGAAACACTCGCTTCCAAAAGCACAATACACCACCGAGCCTGCCTTGAAACCGTCGAGCCACTTGGCCCAACGATCTTCCAAGGACGACGTAGGCGGCTCGGGAAGAATTGGCCCGGATAATAGGACAATCTTCCCGTACTGTTTCTCAAGATATTCACAAAAGGGACCTTCAATCTCACTGCACGACCTGAAGCAGACGGCGTCGGAGTCTCTTAGAGCCCACGTTATCCGTTCATGGAAGGAGACTCCACTCCCGTACTCCCTGTAGGTGATGAAAGTCATTTTACGGGCTTCATGGCGATGGAGCTTGATCGATGAAGAAGGCGGGAACCCCGGAGGTTGGTGCATGAGATCATCTTCAGATAATTGGGCACCCTCTTCGAGCTTGATGCTGGCGGGAGCCAAGAGGTAGGCGATCGTTGCTGCACTGGTGATGCAGTATTGAATGGACTTGATACCGAGCCGGCGAGCCAAGGGTGGAATGCAGTGGGTGAAGTCGAAGAAGATGAAGTCAGGCTTGAGGTCTTTCAAGGCCGCTTCTACGTCGGGTTGGGTTCGGTCCATGGCAGACATGATGAGGGGTTGCAAATGGAGGGGCACATCGTTGGTGGTCTCAGCGCCGGCGGGAAGACCATCCACGTGTGGGACTACCAGAGGGACGAAGCGGATGAGATCAGGGTGGAGGTTGAAGGCTTCCAACTTGGCTCGTGCTTTGGTGGGCAACAGAAAAGAGATCCGGTGGCCTCTCTCGGCGAGCTTGTTTGAGAGGTGGAGGAATGGAGTCAGGTGGCCAAAGGCGAACCAAGGATACATCACCACATGAAAGGTGCTATCAGTGCCCATTATCTTCCTATCACAGAAAGGAAACAACAACGGAAAGGAGGAAGAAAGTAAAACTGATTGCTCAAAACTCGTAATGAACAAGTCCCTCTCCCAAAATCTCTCGTGTTGCTCTTAACTGAACTCTCTCCCAATGGCCAATACACACCTGGTTTTTAGATATAAGAGTCCAATACATAGGTGCTCTTTAACTGACCTCTCTTTTCTCCCTTTCTCCCTCTCATCCCTCTCGTGTAGCCACGTGGCTCTCCCTGTCCCACTCCCTTTCCCCTCTTTCTATGATACATCCCAATTAATTAAACTATGCCCTCTCCTAAAATCTCTCATATTTCTCTACACTTGGTCTTTAGATGTAAGATTCCAATTCCTAGGTCTTCTTAACTAACCTCTCTCTTTCCTCCTTTTCTCCTTCTCCATGTGGCTCTCCCTCTTCCTATGACACATTCCAATTTATTATTTATATATTGTTTTAAAATATCCTTACTGTTTTTAACAATTGACATTATTATTAAGTACTAACGGAGAATAATAAAATGTCAAATTTACCCTATACTATTCCTCAAATATTCAAAATAAAACCCATATGATAAAAAAATTTGAGGAATTAATGATAATGAATCGTCATTTGCAGTTGAATTCATCGCTGCACAACCTTTCTTCAGGTGAGCTCCTCAAGTTTCTTGAGTAAAATCTTGCAGTTGTGGTCAATTTCAGCCAAGTTCTCCGTAATAGCCAAATTTACCCATTTCCTAATAGGATAACTCACCAACTTGCCAATGAGACCAGAGTTCTCTATGATAGCGGCCCTTCAAGTTATTTCTTTGTTCAAGTTAAAGGAAATCCAACTAAAGCATCCAACCCATTTCTTTGGGAGGTAAAGAAAAGAGAACTGGTGTGGAAAACAAAAACAGAAACAGAAAGGGAACTGAAATAAGGTCCAACGGCTAGAGGTGTAAAACAGGTTGTGCTGACTTGCAGGCCGTCTTGGGTTGTGCCACTCTCCCTAGGGATAATTTGAGGGGTTTGCCTGGCATGGGCCACGACCTAATCTTGTGCAGGCTTGTGGCGCTGTGCTGTGCTGCAAGCTGTAGGCCATGCCATGGGTTAGGGCCGTGCTAGGCTGGGCCATAGGTTGGGCCTTGGGCGTGGGTTGAACTAGGCCAAACTAGTTTTTTTTTTTGTTTTTTCATTTATCATTTTTATTTTTTTGTTAAGTAAAACTAAAATATTTAACTTTCCTTTGGGAACTATTTGAAAAAATAATAAATCTAACAAAGAAATGAAAAAAGTACTTAATCAAATAAGAAGTCAAAGAGACAATGACTCAAAGTGAATAACAAATTTGAGGAAAAATAGGAATTTTATTTCATTTAAATTCGAATGATACAAAGCATATAATGGTTGGATGAATGAAATATGAAAATTGGAAAATGGAATAAATTAATAAAATATAAAAAATGTAATATAGTTACAAATTGAAAATAAAAAATTATGTTATAAAAATATCAAATAAATTAAATAAAATTAAAACAAAATTTACAATAATTTAAAAAAATTCTATACAACTATTGAGTATACAAAAAATATTGAATTCATCATTTTCTCCAATTTTTCTTGAGTTTGATCATCTACTTCAGCATCCAGCCAATCATTAAAGCAGATGCACATCTCTAGACTTTCATTATTCATATAGCTTCTCGTGTCGTTCAACACCCTGGTACCTACACTAAAACAAGACTCCGATGGAACTGTAGACATCGGAGGGGTTAGTAGATCACGTGCCATGGCGGTGAGAACCGGATGATTTTTTGCATGTTCACTCCACCAAGCTAAAATATCAAAATTATTTGTTCCCTCTGAGGTGAAGGAAGAATCACCTAAAGTAAAAATTTTTTCTTGTAAATAAAAATTAAGTTTAGTAAATGAACTTGTTGTCAAGGCAGTGGATTCTTGCCTCTTATTAAATAAAAAAGTTTTTCTCTTCCACTACTGGACTCAAGTTCAAAAGTGGAAGATGCTAGGGGTGCAACTTGGGCGGGCCCAGCCCGAGCCTAAACTGGCCTAACCCGAAATTTCACACGTGTTGGGATTGGATTTTTGGTCCTCAGGCTGGGCTCAGCCCCAAAAAGTCGGGCTTTTTTATTTTTCGGGCCAGGCTTGGACCTAGCCCTTAGGTAGCCCGAACCCAGCCCGAGACCGACTCAATTAAATACATTCATACATATATATATATGTGTATATATGTAAATGTTGCATACATATTTACATATATATACATACATATTTGTATATATAACATTTGTATAGATATTTTGCATACATATTTACGCACATACATACATATTTACGCACATACATAAATATATGTGCATAAATACATTTATATATGTATAATTTTAAAGTGGGTTCATTGACCAACCCAAACCCGGCCCAGGCTCGAGCCCAACCCGAGTGCATCAAATTACAGGGTAGGCTGGGAATGTCAGGCTTGACCTTGGTCTCGGGCCTTAAGCCCAAATTTTAGGGTTGGGCCTAGGTTGACCATAAACCCAGCCCAACCCGCCTGACTTATACCCCAAGAAGATGCAACTCTAAAAGTTGTAGAATTTTTATTATTCCCTATTACTTCAAATTCATATAAACTATACATTTCAAATAATAAACTGTTAATTTCTTTTATTTTATTTTCCAATTTCAATATTCATATTTTAACAATATGTTTCAAGTAAAATATCTAAATCATTTTTCCTAATCCTAGGATCTAATATTGTAGTTAAGCAATAAAGAGGAGAAATGTTCTCTCAATATTTTTTAAATTTATTTTCATTATTTCAATAATACTTTTAAATTGTGGATTCTTTCTATATTTTGCAAAACAATCATGAATCATCATTAATTGATAAGCTAAATTACAACTAGTTAGATAATAAATACTCAATAATTCATTAGTTGCATCATAAAAATATTTTAAGAAATCTCTTATACAAATTGCTATTTCCTAGTCTTCCTCAAATATAATATCAGTGGGCATTTTTACATTATAAAAATCACTAAGAATTTGTTTGTGAGAAATACGAGATCAACTTTAGTCAGTGCAAGGCCCGTTTGAACACTGTTCGAACAGCCTTGACAGCCTTGCTTCAGGAACATCTCCATACTTTTATGCTTTATTTCATGGGGAGATATTCCCATTGCAAGGCTATGATGGTTGTTTGAACGGGCTTTGCACTGACAGAATCGCATTTCGAGAAATACAACTTTCTAACATAGCATAGGTAAAATTTCATCTATGTTTAACATCTAATATAAAATGTTTATATTTTAAACCATAATCTCGACATAAATATTTAAATTTATTTTTTTCTTGCTCCAAAACTTTTAATATATATGATTCAATTTCTAATTTTAAAAATATGAATAGAAATAATATTTAAAGCATCTTGAATACATAAATTTAAGATGTGACATGCACATATGATATAAAATAATTTACCATTTAAGCATGGTTTTAATTAAGATTTTAAAATATTTATTGTTATATCGTTATTACTAGCATTATCAAAACTAATAGATAATAATTTGTTGCCAATTCCACAAGCATGTAAAGTATTTAAAATACTTGCAGCAATAGTTGGGCTAGTATGTGGCCATTCAAACCTAGTAAAACTTAAAATTCTTTTATTTAAGAGCCAATTCTCATCAATAAAATAACCGGTAACACAAATATAACTTATGTTAAATTTAGAAGTCCAAATATCAGAAGTAATTGCAACTTTATAATTAAGATTTTATAACATATAAGTTAGATTTTGTTTATATGAACAAAAAAAATTTAAGGCATCTGATCTAATAGTATTCCTAGAATTTTTTTAAATTGTGGATTTATAGAATTATGTAACCATTTTTCGAGTTTAGTATCTTAAGTAGGGGTGTTCACGGGTCGGGTTATTGGGGTTTTCCCAACCGACCTGACCTGGTCGGGTTACCTGAGGTGGAAACTGAAACCGACCCACTGATAGGCCAAACTGACCTGGTCGGTTTGAGTCGGGTTGGGTCGGTTTCGGTTTTGCTCTTGTACAAAAGGACACCTAATTGAATTCTAATTGTAATTGCATAATGGGTTGCCTATTTGGTGTAAAAGATTATAGAAAGTTAGAAACTAGGATAGATTGCCTATTCTAATTGTAATTGCCTAATGAGCCTTCTAGTTCTAGTAGAAGACTAGTTATAGTTAAGTAGGAAACTACTCAAACTAGGAACTACCAAACTAGTAGAAGACTAGTTCGGTTCGGGTTGGGTTGGTTACGGTTTTCACACAAGAAAACCGAAACCGACCCGATATATCGGTTTATATATTTTCCCAACCCGAAACCGACCGTACTAATGAAAACCCAGCCGACTCGGGTTGGGTCGGTCCGGGTTGGTCGGTTTGGTCGGGTTGGGCATTCTTATGAACAGCCCTAATCTTAAGTTAACAAAAATGGTTGTTCAGCATGTACAATGTATTTTTCTAATTCTTGTCTCATTTTTTGTTGAGAATATTTAAAAGTACCAAAACTCCCCCATCCAATTTGTGTTTGTTTGCCCAAATGGCCAGTACCACCCTTGCTACAATAGCTAAAGTCTTTCCTACACTTTTGGCAAACAACTCTTTTTCCCTTTCCCTTAACCTCCTCTACTTTAAATGTTTTCCAAACCAGACTAATCAACTTAGTGGCCTTCTTTTCCTTTCCCTTAGTATCAGTACTAGGGGTGGAAGTTCCGTCAATACCAATAGCATCCGTATCGATGCTAATAATACCATGTTGCAACTAAATATCATCGCATTGAACATGTTGGGGATTTTATTTTGAGAGGAGCCAACCATTTTTTTAAATTCTAAAAAATAAAAAACAATTTAATTGCACTTACCCAAATTGTTAGTTCGAAATCCCAACTTGATTTCAATGGTTGAAGCCTTTCAATTCCAAGACTTCAAGCCACCCAAATTGCTAACTTGAGACTTGAGCTATTGAGCAAGCCTTCTTCTTGTTGAAACTTCAATAAAATTGAGAATTGGAGAATCAAAGAATGTATGAGAGATTGAGATTTGAGAAAGTATGAGAACTAGAAAAGAGATTAAGAGAATTGTTGAATTGGTGTGATGAGAATGGTGGAGGATTTGACTATTTATAGGAATTGAAAATAATTCAATTGCCCAAAATACCTTAAAAACTAACTTTTTTTTTAGTTATTGGGAGGGGTATTTTGGTTATTATAAAGTCATTTATCACTTTACCCAAAATGCCCCCCCCCAAAAAAAAATATATGCTATATAGTTGTCGGGGAGCATTTGTGTCATTCTTTCTCCCCCCAAAACCAAAATACATAAATACCCACCTTATATAGTTATTTATAGTTGTTGGGGGGTATTTCTGTAGAAAAAAACCTCCAAAAAGTTGAAACTAGCCGTTTGGCCCCCCCCAACGGTTAGTTCATCGGGTAGGCCCAACATGGCCTGCTATGGTTCCACAGGCCATGTCGTACTGCGGGTTGGGCTGTGCCGGCCCGTGGACCGGGAACCCTAGGCCCAGCACGACCCAAACCATTGTGCTGGCTTGGCATGGCCCGTGTGCCTTCAGGCCATGTCGTGCCATGGGTTGGGCCGTGCCAACCCATGGACCTAAAACCTTAGGCCCAGAGTGGCCTGGACCATCGTGTCGAGTCTGGCATGGCCCCGTGGTCCAGTCCGATTTACACCTCTACCAACGGCTACATTTCACACCCTCTTACTTTTTGTCTTTTGGGTAGGAGGGTTTGACATTCAGACTACCCAAGTTTGCCCCGCGTTGATTTCAACCTATTTATTACAAATTTATCAGCTCATTAAAGACATCTATTTTCTACCTCTAGAATCACAAGCCATCTACCTTCATCTCGACTCATTACAACTCATAAGATCCCATTTATTTGTGTAGGATAGAACAATAACTCTTACAGGTTGGCGATCGTCTATCTTGAGGGAACCTGTGAATGATGGTTTTTTGTTATTTCTTTTGGGTGTGTTTTAATTTGTTGTTGTAGATTGTGATGGGTTGTGCAAGGTCAGGTACAACCTACACTCGAGATGGGCAGGTATTAAGGAAACAATTATGGAAAGGCAAGACAAAACCATTACATAACGTCATGCATCATTCTCCCCATTCATGAGAGGCTCTCGGTGTGCATGTCTCCATTCAAATTCAAATTCTTTCTGTACAGCTGTCAATGTAATCTATAAATTTATTGTAAATCACTCAATCAATACAAGAGGAAAACATTTTGTTATCTCTATTTTCTTTTGACCTTTTATGGTATCAGAGCCTTCAAGACCAATGTCCATTTTTTCAGCCATGGCTACTTTTGGGAATTCATCATCTGTTACATCCTCTACCCAAAGCGACTCCCGAACTCAGCATTATGTTGTTCCGTGGATTACCCTCTCCCATCTTACCAATTTAATCTTTGTTAAACTTGACCATACCAATTTTCTTCTCTGGCTTACCCAAACGGTTCCGGCACTACGTGGGCATCGTATCTTTGACTATGTTGATGGATCATTTCCCTGTCCACCACAACATGTTGAGGATTCCACTAGACAACATATAGTCAATCCCTTGTATTTTCTCTAGCAAGAATAGGATTAGTTGATCCTTAGTTGGTTACTTTTGTCTCTTATAGAACTTGTTTTAGCTCAATTAGTTGGTTGTTCTTCCTCCAAATGTTATGGAACACTCTTCATCGCCTATTCCCATCCTCCCACAAAGCAAGGATCCATGATCTCAAGCTCGAATTGGCACTGGAGAAGAAAGGAACTCTCTCCATGTCTAAATACATTCAACATGTCAAAGGTATTGCAGACTCATTGGCAGCATCCAATTATGAGGTTTTTGATTCGGCCCTACAACCGCACCAACTTCCGAAAATTGCAGGTTAGTTGCCAACTCTATGGTTATGTGGGTCACATTGTGGCAACTTGTCAATGGTATCTTGCTCTTACTAGTTTTGCACCTAATCAACATGGTTCTGCCCTCATGGCTTCCTCCTCTTCTACATCTCCTGATCCAAATCGGTACCCCGACTCTGGGGCAACAAACCATATCACACCTAATCTCCAAAATCTATCCACATATGATGAATATCAAGGCAACGATCATATTGTAGTTGGTAACGAGGAAGGTTTGCAAATCTCTCACGTTGGCTCTTTTGTTTTGAACACTTCCACTGGTTCTTTCCATTACGTCACATTCTTCATGTTCCCCATATTACACAGAACTTGATTTCTGTAAGCCAACCATTACCTAGTACCAGCATCAATAATGGAGGTTGTGCTCTCATTGGTGAACGTACTACTACTACAGTTTGGCATCATAGACTCGGCCATCCGAGTCTTAAAATAACAAACCATATTATGTCTAAGTTTCATCTTCCCATCTCCAATAAGAAGCTATAGTTTTGTGACTCGTGTCAGCTTGGAAAGAGACATCGGCTACCATTCGCATCCACTTCATCTGTTGTCTCAACACCATTAGAGATTATTTACTTGGATATTTGGGGTCCTTCTCCCTATTATTCTTCTTCTGGTCATTGGTATTACTTGTTATTTGTTGATGGCTATAGCAAGTACTCTTGTATCTTCCCTTTATATTCCAAGTTTCAAGTTCCACCTATTTTTCTACAATTCAAAGCCAACATTGAAAATAAATTAAATTTCAAAATCAAGAGCCTCCGCATTGATGGTGGCACTGAATACAAATCCTTAGCATCATTTCTTCAGTAGGTCGGCATCACTCATCGCCTCACATGCCCTCACACTCTAGAACAAAATGGAGCTTCAGAGCGTTGCCCCCGCCACATAGTTGAAACCGGCTTAACTCTATTTGCCAGCTCATCAATACCCAAATCGTATTGGGTTGAAGCCTTTGATGTTGTCGTCCACTTGATTAATTTCATGCCAACTCCTATACTGAACATTCTCTCGCCATGGGAAAAGTTGTTTGGCACTCAAGCTAACCATAAAATGTTATGGATTTTTGGATGCTCCTGCTTCCCCTTCATTCGTCCTTATCAACGCAACAAGCTTGATTACAGGTCTGCTCCATGCGTTTTCCTTGGATACAATACTCATCACCATGGCTACAAGTGTTTAGACATTAACACTAAACACCTTTTCATATCTAGACATGTGGTGTTCGACGAAAGCAATTTTCCCTTTGCCTCACCTCCCCAACCCACATCTCCCTCTAACTCACCATTACCGTCCATCCTTGGGCCTCCACCAGTTAGATATCCATGCAATAATCCTGTTCTTCCAACATCAACTACGTCTCCTATCTCTGCACCAGTCCAACCTGCTTCCTTACAATCCTCTCCCACCCCATCTACTCCTCCATCACCTTTGTTTCCCCTACCATCAACCCACATTCAGAACCATGACAGCTCCTGTGACCAACCTATCTCTACCCTTCTCTCCAATGCACAAGTTGAACCCACACATACCATGCTTACTAGATCCAAATGTGGAATAGTTAAACCTAACCCTAAGTATGCCATGCTTACCAGCCCACTTGAAGAAACCGAACCCACATGCTACTCTCATGCTTACAAGGGCCCGTGATGGATACTTGCTATGGCTGAGGAATATCAAGTTCTTATAAGAAATGGCACATAGACCATAGTTCCACCCCCCATGGACAGAATATAGTTGGTAACAAATGGGTGTTCAAGATTAAGCGTAAGGTTGTTGACACGATTGGTAGGTTCAAAGCCTGTTTGGTAACCGAAGGCTACAATCAAGAGGTTGGGCTTGATTACAATGAAACATTCAGTCCAGTTGTTAAACCCACCACCATTAGAGTTGTTCTTTCTATTGGTATCTCATTCAGTTGGGAAACTCATCAACTTGATGTTTCCAATGCTTTTCTACATGGCCATTTAGAAGAGGAGATTTACATGTGATAGACCATTGAATTTGAGGATCCAAAACACCCCACCTATTTTTGTAAACTTCACAAATCCCTATATGGGCTTAAACAAGCTCCAAGAGCTTGGTTCAAGCATCTTCATGACTACCTTCTCACTATTGGATTTCAAGATTCAAAGGTTGATTCATCTTTATTTGTCAGACGAACATCATCTAGCACCACATTCTTTCTTGTCTATGTGGATGCTATCTTGATCACAGGCTCTAACCCTTCCACAGTTCAGCATGTCATCACTGACCTCACTATTCAGTTTCCTCTCAAAGACCTTGGGAAGCCCCACTAAGAATGGCTTACACTTGTCCCAACACAAGTACATACGAAATTTGTTGCTTCGTACAAAAATGCATGAATGCAAAGCCAGTAATACTCCAATGGTAGCTTCTACCAAACTCACTTCTTTTTGTGGTACTCTTGTCCCCAACATAACTGAATACAGAAGTGTTGTTGGGGCCTTACAGTATGTGACCCTCACACGACCTGAAATTGCTTATTCTATCAACAAGGTTTGCCAATTTTTGGCTAAGCCTACAACTAATCATTTGTCAACTGTCAAGAGAATACTTAGATACCTCAAATCCACTATTGACCATGGCCTTCTCATTCGACCAACCAAGTCATTCTCTCTTGAAACTTTCTCAGATGCTGATTGGGCAGGCTGCACTGAAGATCATCGATCACATGGTGGGTTTTGTATCTATCTTGGTTCGAACTTAGTTTCTTGGAGCTCCCGCAAACAACAAATTGTTTCATGGTCCATTACAAAATCAGAATACAAGAGTATCGCCATAGCTGTTGCTGAAATTTCATGGGTACAAATGCTTCTCACTGAGTTGGGCTTCTCCTCTTCATCACCACCAACACTTTGGTGTGATAACTTAGGAGCCACATATCTTTCAGCGAATCTAGTTTCTCATGCATGAACTAAACACATAGAACTCGATATCTTGTTTGTTTGTGAAAAAGTGGCTAATAATTCACTCCGGATGAGAATTCTCTCTACCCATGATCAGATCGCCGATATTCTTTACCAAACCTCTCCCTAGCCCCAGATTTCATTTTCTTCGTGACAAGTTTTGTCCCTTCACGGTTCACTTGAGGGGGGCTATTAAGGAAACTAGTATGGAAAGGCAAAACAAAACCATTACATAACGTCTTGCATGATTATTCTCATTCATGAGAGGTTCTCGATGTGCATGTCTCCATTCAAATTCAAATTCTTTTTCTATAGTTGTCAATGTAATCTATAAATTTATTGTAAATCACTCAATCAATACAAGAGGAAAACTTTTTGTTATCTTTGTTTTCTTTTGACCTTTTAGCAGGTTGTTGCTCTTTGTCTTCCTCGACATGGGTAGCTACTTTCTGACGAGTTTAAGCCACCGTAGTTCTTCTCTAGGAACATTAGTTAATGGGTATTGTGAGTATTTCTGAATTGATTCAGACATATATTTTTCAGCCAACCTCATGGATCACCTCTTACTGGAAACATGTGTAGCAATATTGGACAAGACTATTTCAAAAGCATCTGATGATTCCTGCCTTATTTTTTTTTCTTCTTCATATCTTTAGTCTCTTCTTCAGACACCTCAACAATTTTAATGGCTTTTGTTTTCCTTCTCCCCTTCTTCTGAACCAAGACATCTTCTTTTTGGACAACCTCATGGGCCACTTGGTACCGTAAACATGCATAGTAGAGGATCCAGTGGTTGGATCATTTAGATTAATCCATGTGCGCATAGCAGAGTTTAGATTTTCTTATTGGTCAGGTTATAATATAATAGTGGGGTATGGATAGTTTCTATCTAGAATTGACAATAGAAATGTTATAAAGAGAGATGGAGCCACAACAATCACTATCTACTAATCACTTCTCTACATCTACTTTATTTGGCAATTTCCCGCTAGATTTGATGGCATTATGTGTTCTGATATTAACAACAACATGTAGCATGTCCCTCATTATGATTTTGTTGTTCCTTCACTAATTTCTGATGAGCATGTGATTTTGGTTCGGTCAAAGGATGAAGGATATTATTGGGTTTTAAAAAAGTTTTATATGTCATATAGTGTCATGTGTGTACGAATTTTGATGGAACATTAATAATAGGGGTAGAGCTAGTCAATTGTCATAAACAATAGGGGTGGTGTAAGACAATAGTTAAATAGTAGAGTTTGTCAATTAACTAAACAGTAGGGATAGTTTAAGATATTTTCCTAATAAAAAATATGATGTAAAATTAGTCACTTTCTAAATTCTGGTAGATTATTTCTTTTCTAAAGATTATATTTATTAACTTAATTTAATTAACTTTGTTACTTTAATAAAACAACAAAAACTAATAAAATTAATTTCATTAGTTATTAAAAAATTAATAAAAACTTTCTATTTGTAAAAATTAATAGAAATTACATGCTAATCAAACTATGTTTAGTTATTAAGATAGAAATTGAAAATTACTTGAATAAACTTTAATTGCATAATTCATGACATCAGTCCAAACTTCAACTTTCATTAAGTGAAATAAAGTTACCACATGAAACACTAAAGTAATTACTTGCAAAACTAGACAATGCACTATCAAAACCACCACCTCCATTAAAAATAAACATAGACAAAACTCCTTGGAACACTAAAACTAAGATCACGAGACACTAAGACATTAATAAAAAAGACACTGTGTATGTTATGGGCCCGAGCGTAGGATCACGTCACGGGTCACTCCACTGCTGGAACCTCAGATCTTTCATTGCCCTTGGCCTTGCGTACAAGCCCTATTTTGACTATCTCGTGGGTGATTTGTCCAAGAGATCACCCGAGCTCTCCCAATGGGTGATTTGTCCAAGAGATCACCCGAACTCTCCTTACTCTCTTTCTTGACTGCGAAAAACTGAATGCTTTACTTCAATTTGTAGCTCCTTAAATAGGAGATTACAGAAGAAAATTCCTAATTAAACTCAAACTTCTAATTACCTACTGTAATTGGTAACACACTCTTACTTAAGATAAGATAAGGGATGAGGATAAGGCTGGTGGTGAGTTCTTTTGACGTGTCTAGATAAGGGTGGGCCCACCCCTATGAGCTATCGTGTGGGCCCCGCTCTGCTGCTGCTGCCGGGTGCATGCGCATGGCTCATGGTTTCGCTACCGCGTAGTGCGTGCGTGCGGCTCATGGTGCGTGCTGCTATGCGCGTTGCCGAGTGGTGCGTGCTGTTGGGCGGCCCGCTGTGCGTGCTACTGCCTATGCCTGCACCGAAGTGTGCTGCCCGGTGGTGTGTCCATAACATCACACCCCTCCCGGACTACGAGCTTGTCCTCAAGCTCGAATTGGGTGTCGAAGACACCCTCAAAGGAATCCTGAATGGCTTTGCCCTCCCTGGATCGGGTTCCTATGGAGGGGGTTCATGCTCCTCTTCCTCTTGTTTCACCAGGAGGCAGAAAGGTCTCTTGCACCTGTGCCCTGTTGAGTAGAGTTCATCGCAATTAAAACATTGCCCCCTTGCCCTACGTTCTGTCATCTCCGCCCTAGACAAGTGCTTAATAGAGGGTGTACCGCCGCTACTCCCCACACTGGATGCTGATCTGGAATTGGTGCTCGTTTGTGTCTTTCGTTCTGGGCTGGCTGCTGGATATGGGGCCATTCTGAGGGGTTCCCTGTTGGCTGCCAACGAAGACCCTCCTTCCGTAGGCTTCGGGTTTGTCCAAGCCGCTGCTGGGCATCCCACGTTGAACGGCCCTCGGCTAATCTATAGTTTGCGCTCGAAGGCCCGGGCCAAATTCATTGCCGTGACCAGGTTAGGCGGGCTCTGCATCTCTACATCCACTCTCAAGGGTTCGGCTAGACCAGCTGTGAACATATCCACCTGCTGGTTTGGCGTACTGACGAGGCCCTGGCGAGAAGGGTCTAAAACTGCCACTGATACTCTACGACGGTCCTGGTCTCCTTGAGGTTAATGAGCTCCCCCAAAGGGTTGCTCGTTAATGGGGGCCCGAACCAGAGGAGGCAATACGACTTGAACTGGCCCCAACTAAGGCCTGGTTCTTCCTGCTCTACTCGGTAGAACCAGAGTTGTGCTTCATCGGTCAAGTGGAATGCTACCAGGTTGACCTTGTCCTTCTCTTCCGTGCGCTGATTGCGGAAGAATTGCTCACAGCGGTAGAACTAGCCGAGTGGGTTGCCACTACCGTTGTATGAGGGGAACTCTAGACGATTGTATTTGGGTATGATTGTTGATGTCGGTGTGTCGTTCTGTCGCTCACCGGAGCCCTCTGTCCGATCTGGGCGGTGGCTGTGATTAGTGGCTGCCCCTTCAGGGCTCCCTTCCCTGGTGGTGAAGTATAACTCCAGTAGACGCCAAAGTTCCCTGATGTCCTCTTTAACTTCTCTTACCTCCGCATGATTTTCCGCGAGACGGTGTTCCAGCTCGTGAACCTTGGACGATAGTTGCTCCATGTCGCCCATGACGCTTGGCTCTGATACCAATTTGTTATGGGCCCGAGTGTAGGATCGCGTCACGGGTCGCTCCACCGCTGGAACTCAGATCTTTCCTTGCCCTGCGTACAGACCCTATTTTGACTATCTCGTGGGTGATTTGTCCAAGAGATCACCCGAACTCTCCCAATGGGCGATTTGTCCAAGAGATCACCCGAACTCTCCTTACTCTCTTTCTTGACTGTGAAAAACTAAATGCTTTACTTCAATTCGTAGCTCCTTAAATAGGAGATTACAGAAGAAAATTCCTAATTAAACTCAAACTCCAACTTGAACTCAAACTCCTAATTACCTACT